CCCCTAACCCGGCCACCCCCCCACTAAACCCTGGCCCTAAGCACCTCCTCTGCCCGGCTTTTAAATACCCCCAGGGATGGGGACTCAACCCCTTCCCTGGGCAGCCCCTTCCAGTGCTTGACAGCCCTTTCGAGGAAGGAATTTTTCCCAATGTTCAACCTAAACCTGCCCTGGCACAACTTGAGGCCAAACTTTATTTCCAGCACTTAGTGCCACATCATGTGGCAATTCAAGACTGATGGATTTGCTTTACGGTCATGTCCAGAGCTCACCAGAACTGCAGCATCCTAGCAGCCTCAGTAATGAGCGGGCGATGGCAGAAAACAGCCCCAGCCAGGAGCAGTGCAAGGCTCTGGTCCCATCTCTGAGCTCCCTGCGGGTGTCCTGGGACCCTGCTCTGCCTCCCTCCCCAGCCCGGAGGGAACAGAGTTTCTTGAACACCAAGAAGTGTTCATAACTTGCTTCCTTCAGGCCACCTGCCTGCATGTGAGACTCTTCCTTTTGGGGCTCTTTCATTATGCGCCCAGCCAGCTGCTCGTGGTACGAATCGCTGTTGTAAATCTGGGTCTGTCAGAAATCTGTCCACCTTCCTGCTTTTTACGCGCCACCATCTGTAAGGAAATGGTGACTTTTTCTCCAAGCAACAACCATTGCTGGCAGCTACCTGGATCCATCCATCGCAGGGTGATGAAGCAGCACACCTGGGGCGAGGCCCTGCCCAGGGCTGAGCAGAAGTTAAAATGGGTAAGGGTAAAAGAAAAACTGCTCTGTCAGAAAATATGGGATATTGTTCCACATCCTTGTGCCCACTACGTTCCCTGCCAAGGGCCTGATCCACATCCCAGCTGTGACACCGAGACCTCTCTGAGATGTTGGGGACCGAGTTACTTTAACAGACGTGGGGGGCTTCTTTCCTGACGGCAGAGCAGCACCTTGCAGCAGTGCTGCCTTTTGCACCCACAGCCGTGGTACCCGCCTCCTTTGTTCATGCAGGCTTGTGAACACCCATCAGATGCTCGCCAGCATCTTCTCAGCGGGGTCACCAACTCGTAGGGCTCCAGGTTTGAACGGACACGTTCCACTGGCTGCGTTTTTAGGATCAGGAAATCAAAAGAAGCCCAAAAGATCCTGCAGCAGAGGCAGCATTTCACCTCCCTGCTGTATCAGGGCACACACAGGTGAAGGAAACACTGCTGGCCTTGGTACGTCCATCCCTGCCTGCACGGTCTCTGCAGCCATTTAGAGCAGCTCCTGGGGTATTTTTTTCTTTTTTTTTTTCAAAAAAGACATATTTATTTAAAACAAAACACTTGGTCAAGGCGCATTCACAGGCGTGTTAACTAGACAAACTTAAAAAAAAAAAAATAGCAAGAAGGAGGGAGGGAGGGAGGGA